ACCAGTATTTAACATCAACATAAACATACGATTGAAGAAGTATGACAGCTGCGCTCGGGATGAAGTACGTATGTGCGCGGTCATATAACGTTCACTTGTGTTTGCTTGGCACTCAATGTTTATAATAAAAACGGGTCACAAACACGATGACCGCTGATCTTGTATGTACTCCACAGGAACCGAGTTTATACTAGTTCGGATTAGAATGTAATTCCTATATCGAATAATTCTCAGTGATGATCATCGAGTGTTGTAAACACCGAACGAATAAATTGAAGTCTGACTCAGGCTGCAAACGTCCACCTCGCGACACGCGCCTGACGTTGGTTGTGAACAAAAGTCTCACAAATCGCTGAATTTCAAAACAGGACAACAATTCCCGGCACAGCTCTCACACAACCTTGACAGATGTAACCGGAGATATCGGCACTGTGTGTGAAATATTAACCGTAATACGCCCAGTTTAGGGCAGGAAACATAAACAGGGAAGCCCTTCCCTCGAATCGGCTAACATGAGTAGCACAACATGGGCGAATCCATTTGTTTGTAGTATGGGTGGATTACAAACCTGAATTAATATTAACCACAAGATGTTTTTTATGCACTATAGGTATGCCTGGTATATTTATATTGGTTATTATGCAATATTTTGTGATTGTCAAAGGTATTGTTAAAGAGATATTTGCTAGATGCATAATTACTGGAAAATGTTGTCAAAATGGCACCGTCCTAACGTTTATTTTTTATACTGTCGATAGACGGCGCTATACAACAAATATAAGTAAGATACTAGCGATACTAACAAGATGTTTTTTATGCACTATAGTTATGCCTGGTATATTTATATTGGTTATTATGCAATATGTTGTGAGTGTCAAAGGTATTGTTAAAGAGATATTTGCTAGATGCATAATTACTGGAAAATGTTGTCAAAATGGCACCGTCCTAACGTTTATTTTTTATACTGTCGATAGACGGCGCTATACAACAAATATAAGTAAGATACTAGCGATACTAGCGGGCTGTGTGAAACTGCTGTTTTAATAGTTAATGGAAAATCTGTCGAAGACTAGCATTGACCCCCAGGACACCAATAGTCACATTTGCACCACGGATAAGGGACTGGACTGTCGTATTTATATTCACAATGTGTATTATTATTCTTTTCGACATATAACGTATAATCCTGTCTTAAATGATTGTGCTTGGAATTACATGCCTAGCGCCTTTACTAGTATCCGGACTACTAATGCAAACGTTAATATTGAACAGTGTAAAGTTCAAACATCGCAGTATGTACGCCAGTGATTTTTTTATTCTTCAAAGACAACTTCTTCACGTTGGCGACGTAACACATAGCGGATAACGCCCTCTGGAATAAAAGTACACTTCCGGGGTATGTCAGTTATGCGTACATTGCTCCGCCCCTTGTTGGTTTCGAGTCTCTTGCTTAGTAACACTAAACAACAGAAGCGCGTCGAATAGAGAACGGGTTTACGGGATCGACGATCGATTATACGCCACATCGGACTTGCTGAAGAAGCGTGTAAGCACTCTATTCCCCGTTCCAGCAGTTTTTTCTTCAAGAGAAAAGAAAAGTTTACCACCGTGCCAAGCTGAAAAAAGGTAAGTCATTGGTTGAAATTCGAGCGTTTTCTTGCAAATGTGTGTACATAAGTATAAGGTACTAGGAAGTGCCCTTGTTCAGTTTAGACCGCAGTATAATTACAACAATAATAGGATAACGTAACTACCGGAGGACAGATACGACATTTCATGTCGTCGTCCCCTTGGTTATACTTATGAATTTCTGGACTTCATACCAAAGTTTACTAAAGTTTTCTAGAGATCAGTAATTGATCCCCTTTCATTGTCTGTCGGACTTTGAATTGTGTGCATTATGACCAGAATGGAATTTAGTAGACCTGACAATTGTTGTCAGTTCCTCACTGAATATAAGATGCATGCCTTATAAAAAAAAAAATCTATTTATACCCCCTCTTAAAACGAGAAACGATACAATAACAACATTGAACGAGGCCTTAGTTCCGTTATTTCATGCTTAGTTTACCTTGATTGTTGATTAATCAAGGACACTTCACAAGTTGATTTCCTTTGGCAATGCAATAGGAAATGGACTAGATTGTAATCTCTGAAGCCATGTTTATGCTTCAACTAGTAGCTAGTATTAAATATAAAGATCTGTTTCAATTACTTGTTTTATTTCATATGTATGTAGCTGGTCTTCATGTTTTAGCAAAATAATAATTTTTGTTTTTTGGAGTGATCATAATATTTGCTGATTACTAACATTGGATTATCCTTAATCCCAGATTAAAATCTACCTGAACTACCAAAATTGGAAATGAACTGTCTGATTAACAATGATAAGAACATGTGTATATATGAGATCCAAATTAATTAACATGCCAGTCCTTCAGAAATTGTTAACCTCTTTGTGTTCATAGACTTCATTGAAAACTAATCCAATTATCAGCCAATACAATTCTGTTGATTGCAACAATAATGCCCCCCCATACCACCACCATCAGAATGTGGCCATATTGGATGAGTTAGATTCTTTGGACACTATGATGTATACCATTGTCACTATATCCAAGACAGCACTGTAGTTTATTCAATATTGCTGTATTGCTGTGCTGTATGATCATTATACCAAAATTTTGTGATCTTGGAGTAAATTTGTAAATTTTGTAGCAGTGCCATTTTCACTCAGATTTGCTGACACGTACATTGACTTTCCTGCATTTGATTACTCTGTAAATGTCCCTGAAGATATTGAATCATGAAGTCTTAATTTGAGATCTGTGATATCATAAACTGATATGAGGAAGCGTAAATTATATATTCATAATTTGAGATTGCCAATAATGAATTATTCCTTTTATAGCACATATTTACACATTGTGGTATGTATATGTAGAAAAAAGTTAGCTGATAGTATCTCGTATTATCAGACGTGAAATATACGGTATGTGTCAGATCTGATTATATATTCGACAATTCATCAGATATGCAGAATATTTTCACTGAACTTATTTGTAATCATTGTGGCTATGCATGGTAACAACTTGACCATGGTATGTTTCACTGTTGTTCGCACAACTGTTTATAATCACTAATCGGCAACTGTATATTTTGTGTACTTGGTATTTTCTAGCTGGAATTTCACGGTCAACAGCGTACCAGTAATCAAACAGAAAATAGTACAGTTTGCAGAGATTAAAAATAAATTACCAAATCACATGTGGAATGTTATATTTTAACTTTGTATCCACTTTCACCAAAATATTTAATTATTAATCGCACTGGTATATCCAAACTGCATATCGATGAGCGGACAGTTAATCTGCTTCAAACCAACTTAACATTTTCTAAAATTGTGACTAAAATAATTTACCAAAAATCATCATAAGCAGATCACCTAATCTACATTGCTGGTTTTTAAATTAAGTGTACCGGTTCACAATCACAGTTCCTCAATCAACCAATATGTACTCTTATATATAAATATAAATATATTTTCTGATACAATTTCTTTATAATTACTATACTTCCAAACTTGATAATATACTCATAATTATGAATGCCATGATAATAATTGAATTTGTTCTTCTGTTGGATCCTATAGAACACGTTGTATTTTATTTCTTCCTTTGCTTACTGTGGAGTCCTAGCCTTGTATGTCATTGGACATGAACCTTGAGTATACAAATCAATGGATGCATAGTATTACTACAATAGGGGGGTCTGAATAGAATGACCATGGTCAAAGGTCAAGAGTGAGAGACTCCAGTAGTGAGGGTGGAGTTCCAATGTTATTCATGGATTCGTAATACACACGGTTCCATATGCATAATAGCATGGAAGTGAACACTGTGTGACTGTGATTACATTTCTCTTGACAAATTAATTAAGTAGTACATGTACAATTAAGATCTAGTCTGATCTTCACGCCTTTAATTAATATCAACATAGATTAATTGGTTCAAATTTGGAAATAGTTTAGTCACAGTAATTGTCAATATATTGCAAAGCGCTGTTTGTTGACTTGTAAGGCGTTTTTCAGCATGATGGTTTTATACTGCTCAACTGAAAGTTGTTATTTGTAGACAATTTTTCAGATTATTTGACTCAGCATTGACTATTTTTGAGGCACATTTTTCTGCAATACTGCAATATATTCATATTATTACACAAAATAGTTTTAACATCAAATCTACAAAATGTTAATTGAAATGGCTGTGTAAATCTGAATGAATTCAACAGTAGACAAGGTTGTCCATATCTAATTAAACGCAGATTGTCATATGCCACATGAATTGTATTGATGTGTTCTATATTGTGGGTCATAATCATGGAGCTGACCTCTGCTATTGACATGTGTGCCCGTTATTTCGTGACATTTTTGTTTTCACTTGAACAGGATAATTTTACACCTTGAGTTTTCACTATTGTTTGGTTAGGGACAATTTGCTGACCTGTTTGGTGACCTCGCCTTTGTCTAGTGGGAACCATTCTACTTTTGAATTTATTGCATTCCTGTTTGCAAAGCTGGGCGTTAACAGTCATTGTCTGTGGCTTATATCACCTGACACTTAAAGGACAAGAGGACAAGTCAGAATCAAACACAGTGTATATTGAATTTATACACAGTTGCCATGGTAACAACAATATATCTAGAGAAATCATTTCTTGGCTCAACCTATAGAATGATATCTAAATCAGCAGGAGTTGAAATCTTACTTTTCTTACTGGAGTGGGAATACTTCTTCAGTGACGTAATTATTGCCATGGAAACTATATACAAAATCATTGCAAGATGTCGTTTCACAGGCCATAATAATGGTGCAGTAATATATCAACTTGTATTTGCTTCTCATTTCATTTGCTGATTTCATTTGCCTTCTTTATGCTAATTAGGGGCGATGAATTAAAATGCAGGTTCATTGTCTAAATCATGTGCTTGACTCACATCTTGTATCTGACCAACATACTCATTGAATGACAGTCATAATGCAACACTTGTTCATGAACTTGGTTGATATGGTGAGAAAAGTGAGTTGAGAAAAAATCCACAATTTTGTCATCGTCTCCATGATGGAAATATTTAATAGTATCGGTAAGCTTTATAAAACTCTACCTGACACGTAATATAAATATTTTTGTGCAGGAAAAAAATTATTCATCGTTTGTGGTGGGTGCAGA